AATCATTACGAGCCAGCCAGCTGTTTGCCCTGCCACGCGCCAAGCCCGAATATTTTTTATCTTTGCATTTTTGCCCATTGAAGAAGGCGCAGGACACGCAGGAGCTGCTGAAGGCGCCTTCAACGGCAGCTGAGCAATTTTGGGGCTTAACCTTGACTCGCTTACGGCATACACGAGCGCGCACACTCAAAGTGGGCGTGGAGCCACCCAGTGTCCTGGCCCTCGTCTCGGCTCGTCGCTGGCAGCGCCATCTTGACGAATGCCGCCTGTTGTCATTGGGCTTGGGCGCCTAATCTTATCTGTTACTTCGGGGTGCCAGCCTGCTGTGCGTGAGTGTGTGTGTGTGTGTGTACACCCGACTGCCGTTTTAGGTCGTCTCCTGAAAGTCATTTAAAATTATGTACATCACGAATAAGCGGCAGGAAAAGCTTTAGCTTCGCTTTAGCAGCAGCAACAGCCTCGCAGCAGCACCGAGTCCAGTCGCAAGAATTCTTTCTAATTTAGTCCACGCGACTTTTATGACTTTAATGGCCTACCACTTTGACATGGCCCGGACCCCCGACCATGTTGACTAGCGCCTGGGGATTTGTCATTAGGTATTATTATTTTTGTTGTTGTTGTTATTCTTGTTATTCTTGCTTTTGCCGCCTGTCTCTGGGATTAGGTAAGTTTGCTGCCACAGCATTGATTTATATTTTTGCACATTTTTATGACGCTTCTTGCTGTGCTTCAAGTGCAAACGCCGTGGCTATTTATAGTTTATTTTTATGGCCACAAGGGGACTACATTGAGCCGCATTTTGACAGTTCCGGCCCGCAATTGGTCATATAATATTCGAAGCATTCTCAGTTGGGTAGCCCAAAAGGAGCTGTAAGTTGGGGTAGCTAAAAAAAAAATACTGAATTGAAATATGGCCATTTTTCCTTGCAATGTTTCTCTCTGACCTACACCCTAGAGATTTCAATATGACATATAGAATATGAAACAAGCGTTACAAATTCTTGAAGTATTCTACAGTAAGATACACTTGATGAGTAGGTCTCGATTAATCCATGTCCTCACTCGCATAAGAACACATTTTATGATTGGTATCAACAAGTGATACAGATAGTACTTGGACTATAATAATCAGACCAATAATTATAGTACCACCACAGTGCTCTCATAAGTAATTACACCTGTTCATACCCTTCAATAAAGAATTTTCATTCAAACTATACTCTCAGTTTCGCTGGAGTTTATGGACACTTAACAGGGATTTACAATTACAGTCAATACGATCAAAACGCTGTTCACATTTATATAAAATCTTATCTGGAAAATGTAGAGGCTAATTACAGAAACGGATTGCAATTGGATGTGTGAGCTTTCGGATGGAAAATACTCGGTTCGTACTAATCGTATAGATACCTTCTTAGACCAATCAATAATTTTGTGAGAGGGCTTTTTCAAATTTGCTCAGGAGCATGGCTGCCCATCAAAGGACTCTTTCGATTCACACCACTTTACAGTTCATTAGGCAGCCGACGCGTACGAGCAGTATCTCAAATCTAGGCGAATGAGTATCTGTGAGTTGCGAGTGGACAGGGCGGGGCGGGGCGGGGCGGGGCATTCGAGTGTCTTTGTGTGAGGTGCTGGCTTTGACATGTTTAAAAATAACAATATGAAGGCAACTTTTCCAACAGAAGCGATACATAATAATTAATACGCTCAACTGAATGAGCAATTATTTAATTTGGCGTTAATAATATTTTTGCATACATTTTTTTTGTTTTATTTTTTTTTTTCTGAGCTAGTTTTAGACGCTGCAGCTGCGCTGAGTTTGGGTGGTGCCTGAAGTCAGCATACTTTTAGCGTACACTGTGCGGCGTCTAATGTTGCTATTTTTATCGACAACGGTCGTCTCTTCAAGGAAGTTCATCAAAGTCAAGCACAGACAAGGCGCACAGTGGGCGGGGCAACACACTCTCTACCTGCCAAGACAGTTGACACATGTGGCATACACGGGTGTGTCTGTGTGAGTGTGTGTGTGTGGGGGTGCGAGTGTGTTAACAAGTGTGTGTATCTGGAAAGGAAATTTATTTCATTACAGCTCAGCACCCAACGCAATCGTCGTTCTGTCCTTCTGTCCGTTTGTCAGTCTGTCCGCGTCTCTGCCTGTCGATACGTTTGACTATTTGACTGGCAAGCATCCGTTTCAGTTTGCCGCTTTTATCTATCAGGCAGGTGGGCACGCCGGTATGTAGCTTCCTGCCATACTACAACAAAATGGAAAAATTCTGCACGAACATAAATTTCCATGGACGCACGTGCAAAGCTTTTGGCATGAAAATCAATTAACTTAAATTAATTCTACGAATTATATGCGCTGTAAAAAGTTTGCCAAACAAACATGTGCCACAAATTCGCTATCCCATATCTTTTTTTCTCATTTATATATCTATTTTTTTTATTTTTTTGGATTTATTTTCCCGTTTGTGTTTGTCAGCCTCCCGTGAGCTTAACCTGAGCTGCTAGCTCATGGACTGTGCGCTTTGGGAGTACTGTAATACCAACAGGCTAACAATTTAATTTGTATTCTACATGCCATGCAAATACCAATATCCCGACTAGGCATAACAAATTGATTTTGAGCAGGTGAAACAGCTCTTTAGGGCGAGTGTCGCATGGATAAAGAGTGCACTAAGTTGTTGTGAGCATATGCAAAAAGTTAGACATGCTATTTGATATCAAGTATCTGCATTGATCGAACTTTGTTATCAAAGAGTATAACAGCTCGGGTTATTTTTAATTCTCCTACAGACAGTAGGGATATCACTTCAGTATAAAGATGATAAGTGTTCAATTTCTCTACTCTAAAGTACTCTAAATGTGTCCCCTAAAGACACTTAAGCTAAAATTGAAAACAAATTTAAAACTATATACTATAAAACTATAAACTATAAACTATATACTTTTATATGGAAACAATTCTATTGTAACTTACAGTCATTTGATTTTATTATCATTCGGGTATGCTTTGAAGTTTATTTCTGCCTTTCCTCATTATTTGCTTAACTATTGTGTAACTATTAATACGTTGCAGGCTGTATCCTAATCAATTTTTCGTGCTTAGTGTATTCTCATTTGTTAATGAAGTATTCATATGCATTTACGTAAGCCGACCTGTCTGGTAATCTAATCGGCATTTTGTACATTTTGTGAATAGTCAAATTGACCGCCGGTAACCGCACATGAATTAATGCACAATTCGTAGTGGCTTTATTCGAATAGACAATTATACAATTTACCAAATGATTTGACGAATGCAACACACAATCAATTCAATTTTGGGCATTCAAATCGTTAAATATTAGTCTATTATACACGCAAAATGTGAATATGTAAATTTGCGCATATTTTCCGAGGTAACCAATAATAAATGTATATGGTAAACGACATAACAAACGCTGAAGTGTCATCTAAACTAGAAATAAAATATTATGACAATATTTTCTTGTTTTCTATTTCTTTTTTCTTATCCTTTTAAACCCAAATATTCAAAAAATTGCTTGAAAAGCATTGAATGTGCCGGAAATATATATTTTTATTTGTTTCCTCGAACTGAAACTAAAACTTAAACTAAAATCCCTCGGAATCCCTAAATGTAACTCAAAATATAGCTATTGCATTTATTTAGCTTGCGAACAGAATTTATTTATTCAGCAAATACTGTTGATTATGTGGAATGCATATGTGTCTGTGCCTGTGTACAGTGCGTGCGTGTGTTTCCGATTGAAGCTTTCACTTTAGAGCACGTAGGCAAACATGGCGTATACACAATGTGGCGTTCCGTTGGATACATCTCGCACAAGCTGTGCATTAATAATTGTACAGACCGACTGACTGATTGACTGACTGACGGTCATTGATTGCTTGATTGATGCACTGATTAGAGCAAAGCTTGAGTGCGCCTTCGAGTAGGCAACATATGAAAATCAATGGCGGCTTTGGCTGCCATTTTACTGTCATTGAAAACTTGTCGCAATTTCCAAAGCTAAAGACGATAAACGATTTCCTCTGCCAAGGACATAAGGGATATTTAAAATCGTTGCACATTCCTTGGCAGTTGGGGGGCGGGCGGGCCTAGGGGACTCGGTTGAGTATGCGCACATTTCAAGCACGTCATCGGCTTAAGGAAAACTTAGCTGTAACCATAGATGAGGCCTTCCCTCTGACAATCAGGACGTCAATCCAGCAGTAACAAAGTTTAACGAACCTTCAGCTCGTGCATGCACATGTGTGTGTACATGTGCGTGAGAGAGAGTGGCTGAGTGTGAGTGTACGCACCTTAACCGTTACTTACCACACTTTTGCAGCAATGCGTCCATTAACAATGAAGAGCTCATGTTGTGCTAGAAGCTTAAAGCTTACGGTTTTTGCTTAAATGAAAGCTTGCAAGCTTTGGCACAAGGCTTTTTTTTGTATGCTTTTACAGATTGCGCATGGGTTTGCTTATTGGGTTTTTTGGGATTTTTAGGTAGGATTAATTTAGATCATGGAAAATAAATTATTTAGGTTAGAAACACGGCTGATTTTAAGAACTTTTAAGCTTCAAATATTCAGGATTTTCGTCTGTTAAAATAAAGTTTTGCTTAGATAACTGAATAGAGATGGCTAATAATAACTTAGTACAAGATTCAACGAACTACAAATAAAAGTTAAATAATTCAATTTAATGTACAAACCTCAAATTGTTGCAAACATTTAATTGATTCCCATATAAAAATACAGTTTGACGTTTAGAATTAAACTTAAATCGAACATTCAACAAATTTTGCAAATATTTTAAACGGCTTTGCTTTGTGGTTCAAAGTTAAATGAGCTTTAACATGAAATAATATTCCCGGAAAAAAAATAATTCGTCATATACTGAGAAAAGTATGTTGATAGGATTTAATTACCAATCCTATGGACATATCAATGCAACGACTTTAATACTGGCTGAACATTAACTTGCCACACAATCTAGAACTTTGTTAGCGACCTCTGAAGGCTCACCAGCCGTGCTCCTTGTGCAGGACGTGCTTATAAATGGTATAGGGCACAGGATATGGCTTGGGCACAGGTATTTTAATGTGCTTGATCACTTCGACGGGATACGGTTTTTCAACTTCAACTGGGTAGGGTTTTTCCACCGTATAAGGTATCTTGCGTTCCGTTATTTCGGGAACTATTTTGTAATAGGGAATTTGAATTTCCTGTTGCACCGGAACATGAACCGCATAGGGCTCTGGTATTTCCAGCCGTATAACATTGGGTACCTTATTAAAGGGAAACGAAATTGAATGAAATCCATTTTAGGCAAACTCTTTGAATTCACCAACTTGTACGGCCACGGGATGCGGTATGGGCAATGGCACCTTCTCAATGACATGGACAGGCACATGCTTCGATATCTCCGAGTAAGTGGTGGGCGTGTCTTGGTGCTGATGATGATAACCTCCGATGCCGGTACCACCTCCACCTCCTCCACCGTCAAAGTGCCCCTCGCCAGTGTGCTCCGACGCATAGCTAAGAGACATGCCGCAGACGAACAGCTGCGCGGTTGTACGGGAATTATGACTTTAGATGCCCCACTAGAGAGTTTTTTTGATGCACTTACAATTAACAACATTTTATGGCTGAGATTTGTGTATTGGTAGCTCCACGCGCCGCGAATTGCAGTTAAACAATGCGAGTGCCTGCAATCCGTTAGCTGGCTTTTATATTGCAGTTGGCAGTTGGCCAAAAGTGAAAGATTTTCGCATTGCAACTGGTCAACTGTTTAGTTGATGTAACCATAACATTGAAATAGAAAGTATTGCATTCGGATCGCATAATTTTCATTGTGCTTTTCCAAGCAAATGTTATAGCAACAAATTGGGTTCAAGTGGGTATCAAGTATCCCGCTGCCTGTCCATTGCTTTCTCACTGGCAAAGTGAATGGCCCTGCCCTGTTCCGCATCGCCTCGGCCCAACGGCTCCTGCTGCAATCTGGGCCTGCCCCAGCAGCTTTGGGGTTAAGGTTGTTACACGTACTTGAGTTCTGCTATCGCTTCCGTCAACCGTAACCCGCTCTGGCGAAAAGTGATAGTCGGTAACGCTAACGCTGCCCAGCAGCCAGTCAGACCACTTTTAATATTCGTCTGAGATTTGCACAAACACCGAATGGTGCCTAGGAAATGGGCTGCGTCATTTTGCTGGGCCGTAGGCGCAGGCGCGGCTGCTGGTGCAGGCATGGGCAAAGAAATCAACAAACTGGTTGGCCATGTCGCAATTGGGGCCAGAAAACTAATCATTGGGATGCGAGGGACAGAAAGAAAATGTAACATCGGGAAGTGTTAAAATTAAGTGCAATTTTTAACACAAAAAGGGCGTAATAAGCTAATCAAAATTAGACATCCGATGGAAGCAGACAAATTCGAAATTTTAAAGACTATAGCGGCATATTTAATTTCTTTATCGGGACATAAGAAACTAGGGATACTAAATATATATATATATTTACTATATTGGAATACTTCATATCAGGGCATTGGGTCAAATATCTTTTTCTTTTTTGTGCCAGTTTAAGCAATAGCTTACTTATAATTGAAAAGTATTTACCAGAAAAATAATATATAATAAAATCGACTTCAAAAATTATATTTTAATTTCTTTAAATGCACCTATACTGAAGCATTCGCTTCGCTGAAAATTAAAAAAAAAACGTTGTTTCAAATATCACACTACTTTGCGATTCTCAAAATGCTTAGATTTATTAACTAGTTACTTGCTCTCTCACTCTCTCTCTCTCTCTCTCTATCTTCCTCCCATTAAGTTGCTCTTCCTTTTTATTGATACTCTTTAACTAACTCTACAATTCTTTTGTTCTTCCAGTAATTCATTCCTACTACTCAAAGATGGCAAGCAACAAACATCCCTGTATATCTGATTATTGGGGTAAGTGCACATTTACATATGTATTTAGTTTATAGAATTTGCTGATATTAGTAAACGGTCGTTAAGTCTGAATCGAATGTTCATTCGAATGTTACATTGATACAAATTTTTTTAAATTGAAATTTCCCGGAAACCCTTATCAAACCCATTACTCCAGCGGATTGCCGATCCCAGAAAGAACTTTAGACATTGTTCATCATCCAAGTTATATATTATTTATTTTTACAAAATGGTGTTGAGTTATTTGACAAAAAGTACCTTTTGCCCCAAAAATAGCGTTAAATTAATTAACTAATCGAATAAAAACTAAGTTAAATGCGTTTAGGCATCATCATCCAACTCGTCCACATCCCAATCCCAGTTGGGGAAATCGTCCTAGAAACACACAGCATTATAGTCAGGTTTTTTATGTCGTTGCAATGTTTACTTACATATTCGTCTAGGCTGCCTTTTTCCTCGGGTAAGGCACGTGGCGAACACGCCACATAGGCTACGCCCGAGTTATGGCCGGAGCACTCACAGGTTTGACTACCTATAGGCGTGGCACTCTGGGCAACACGCTTGGCAAAAATGGTGGCAAGCCGCATAATCGGATACTTGCGCTCCGGCGCCAGTTTGCGTGCACTGAACACCGATCCGTTTGTCTCCAGCGCCAGCGGTGTGCAAATGCCCAAATTGCTCTTGGGTATGTGCACCTGTTTCCGTGTTTCGGCATCGCCCTCGGGGAAGCGTTTCGAGTAGACCAGCTCTCTGTCCAAGCCGAAGAAGTGGCGCAATTTTCGCGTGCGCTCAAAATCGAATTCCGTGTCCGCTAAAATGTGTAAATTGACGCCCTCCTCCAGCATGAACTGCAATATGGAGGTGTAATCGAAGCGCATATCCTTAGCCGCGCAGCTGCTGCACGACAGCAGGATGAAGGTTTTAGATACGCCGGGCCGGAAGTTCAGACGGGATGCTGTCGAAATGGCCATTAGGATATCGCTGCTGCTGCCATTGCCGGTATTAATGTGCGCAAAGTAATTGGCCAGCTGATCGGGCTTCGATGTGAACACATTGCGCTCATAGATAATGCTCCGCGGCCTGTCGTAAGGGGCAACGCCGCCAAATGCCACAACTGCATAGCTGGAAACGGAACACAGTTAGAGGATAAGCTATTGAAGCATTCGGTTTGTTCAACTTACCGATTGTTGGTTAACTTGACAGCCTGCAGCTGCTCCTCAATGCTGGACACAACGCTCATAATGCTCTTGGACTCTTTGAGATTCTCATTGCAGGATTTGGCCTCCACAATGAAGACCACATCGCTGCTGCGTGGAATATCAGCGCCACTTAGCTCCATAAATGTTCCCTCCGGCACATACGAGCCATTTGCCAGCTGACAGCTGTAAATAACAAATGTTAGTTTCAGCTTAAATATTAGTTTCAGGGGATTGCCCAATCACTGTACTTTACTCACAATATACACTGGTCCGGCACACGCATGGGCACCTTAAGCGTGGTACAGGTCTCAATATAGGCCAGCGCAGCAGCACAGGCACCCTTTATAGCCGGATGACCGGGACGAATGGGCTGTGATTTCATGCCCAGATCCAGGCACATCTCATGGAAAGGTGCCGGATCCACGACAGCACTGCAGGCGGACAGAATGCCCGAGCGGAAGAAATTGTTGCATATTTGGGTGACTTCCTTGTTGGTAGGCTCGGGCTTGGCCAACTGCGTTTGCTGGCAGTGCTGCAGACTCCAGGAGTCCGTGAACTGCTGTGTTTGATTCGTAATCAAGCTGTTGGACATGGTGTACTCATCGTAGGGCTCGTTATTGAGCGTGCCCAGCAATCCGGCCGTCCTGGCAAAGTACCACCCGCTCACCTCGAACCAGCACAGATCGAATTGCACATTGCAGTGCAGACTGAACTGAGTGTCCGAGATGATGGACAGAATGTCTAGCTCGCGATAAATATTAACCGCGCCCAATTTGAGAGGCAATATTGGCTGCGGATTGCCATTGACGCTAATGTGCTGTGGATGTGTGTGAAAAAGTTGTTAGTTATCGAGTAGATAAAGTATCAACATGCATAGCTTACATCCGTGCCAAGATCTATCTCAATAAACTGTCCATTCGCTATGAAACTCAGCTTGCGCGTGGAAATGTCCCCTGTTTCCCGACCAGTCAGCGGTTGGGTCTGCAAAGATCAAATATGATCAAATATTAGTAATTAATGTAAATATATGCCAGGTATAGAATAAATTCTCCTACCGCTGGTTCCAGCAGCAGAGTAAAGTTGCGCTTGAAGAAATCATGAGCCAACAAATAGCTGCACCGCCCATTGTGTCCTCCATTCGCCAGTTGCTCAAAGTTTAGATTGAGACCCACAAAACGCTGGTCAAAGGTCATATAGTGGCGTGAGTCGATAAGCAAGGCGCGTGCTGTAAGGGCAAAGAGTTCAAAATTAAACTTTACTCTAAGTTAAACAATATCGCTTTACATACAGTAGTAGGGTGGCAGCCAGGTCTTGGGATCTAGATGTGCGCGCATGTTGTACAGCTTCATGATGATGGACGAGTTCGTTTCGCTCAGGAAGCTCTGAGCTTTGGAGAGCATTTTATACTCTGGAATCTCCTCGAATTTGGGTGTCTCATTGAACGCATGCCAGGACATGGGCAGCTTCTGTTCCAGATCAATAATGCCCACCTCCGGATCGAAAACGAACTTGGTCTTGGCCTCTCTGTACATGTCCGCCGTTTCCAGGGCATTCATCGTATAGGTGCGGAACTTGTTGCGCAACAGTCCGTATAGCTGATGAATGCGATACTCCAGCTGCAGCTCATCGGCTATCCACTCCAATTTGGCCACAATTTCGTTGTACTTTTGTACCACGATCTGCACCTGTTCGATCTTTTGCAGCTCCTTGATCTCTTGCCAGATTTCGGTGAGCACTTCGTTGAGCTCGGCACCAAATGGCACCAGCTTAAAGTACTTCTCCTTGATAAAGTTCCAGGCCAGCGTCGAGTACTTTTTAATATTCGTGATGGCGTCGTTCGCCTGGATATCCCTGTATAAGCGCTCCGCATCGGCAGTAAAGCTGGACACCTTATTGAAGTAGGGCGACTCGGCCAGTTCATTGGTCCGTTTGTATATGAAGTCGAACACCTCCTTGCTCAGATCCCAAGCGCTTGTCTCTATAAAGCTGATGATCTTAAACATGTGCGGCTCGAAGCGCTTGAGCACAGTCTTCCAGTAGGTCTCCGCCAGATGCCAGAATTTGTGCCACAGGTTCTCAATGTATTTAATGAACTTGATGTGCAGCTCCTTGACAAACTTGTCGTACTTCTCTATGCCCTTCTCCATGAGCGTTGAAATGTAGCTTAAGCTCTCGCCATGGAAGAAGCGACTGATTGCGTCTAGGACATTGTTGTAGGTCGTTTTTATAGTATCTATCAGCCACACAATGCTGTTACGCAGCGCCTTGCCTGAGTCACCCATGGCCTGCCACAGCTCTGAGAATATCTTTGGCAACGACTCGATGTGATCCCTGATGGCCAGCTCATCCAGTATGGTCAGTGTAAAGTTGACCACGTTTTTAATGTAGAAATCATTCGCCTCGTATGACTGATTAACAAAGAGGCGCAAATCGTTCAGATCCTCTTCCAATACGCTTAGCTGGCTTATGTCGTCAATGAACTTTTTATTGTATTCCTTGGCCGTGCTCCAGATGACGCCCACCGAGTCCACAGATTCCGAGTATACAGATTTAATCCAGAAATCAATGCCATCGGAGAAGGAATTATATATGGAATTACCCACGCCATTGATCTTATCGCGCAGCTCGTTCTTGATGCTCGGACGCCAGTGGAAGCGTCCCGTGATGAGACGAGAATGGTTCATCTTCAAATAGGAGCTCACATCAATAATGCGGATTTCCTCG